TTAAAATTCACTGAAATTAGAGATCCAGAGGGTCGTTCCCCTTTCTACTTGTTGGGCAATTGCTGGATTTTGGGGTCCCATTGCCATTTTTATGCTCCAACCCAGGTTCCTTTTGATTTTTTCCCCTTTCTTCTAGTTATTGATCATCATAAACGAGGCAGTCATAGTCTGGGGAACTTTATTGTAATATCCCCTTTTTTAGAAACTCCCCCCAACCCCCCTTTCCCCGCCCCCCCCAAAACCCCCTTTCCCAATCCATCTGCAAAAAGTACTGGGGTTGTTTTGGGGGGAATAACCCTTAAATGCAGTACACTTTTTACCCCATCCCCCAAAATTTTTTCAAAAATGTCTTTTTTTTTTATGACCGCCAGTTCTTCCCCCCCGTTTTTTGTTTCCCGATACCCTTCCGTTTTGGTGGATCATGTGCAGTTATCCCCCCCTTTGCTCTCTGCTCCTCTCCCCCCTGATCCTTTTGGCCATAATGAAGTGTGGCCGACCCAGTATTCACAGAGATGCAGCTGGCTAAAAGAGTATCTCTTTAAAATAAACCCCCTTGGATCTCCCCCCTTAATGGGAAGCCCCAAAAACCAGTACTCGCGGATTTTTTACAGAAAAGCCTTTCCGGCAGAAAAAGGGGGCAGAAACGTCCCCCTTGAAAAAGTCACCAACCCTAGTCCCTTTAAAAACCCCCACCCCTGTAACAAAGAAGCCCTTGGATTGGATACCCCTGGATTCTTCCCTACGGACCAAGCCAAACTTCCTTCGAGATCTTTACACAAATTTTTCATAAAGCCAAAAAAGTGGCATCTTCTTGCTCTTTCCCTAAACTAGACCCAAATGTTAAACCCCTACGGTTATGGATTATTGACATTTCACCCGCAAACCCCCGGGAAGGACCGCAAACTTTAAAGCACCTCTGATCCTAAACCCGCCTGCAACTTTGATTTCCCATGCCCAAGGGGCCTTTTCGCTTCCCTTCCTTTTCCCAAATTGGCAAAAAAACATTTTTACGCACTAGAAAGACCCCCCATACAGTCGAAATTAAAGTTTAATTCCTGAAGTCCCCCAAAGCCCAGGACCGGGGGGGTTTTTGCCCCGTAGGAGACAACGTCCGAACGTGCAATCACCTTTTTAGCAAATTTAGCCAAATCCCGCACTATTTCCCACATGGCTTTGTCCTTGGACATACGGAAGGCGTTTGACACAGTCTCATGGCCATACTTACACTACATTCTGCGCCGATGGAGCTTTGCCCACATTTCTTAACCTGGATCTTTTCTCTCTACCAGGGCCCTTTGGCCAGAATTAAATACCTAGGACATCGACCCGCTCATTTCCCAATTTTTTGTGGCACCAGCAAGGTTGTCCCCTATCCCCTCTGCTTTTCACACTAGCTATAGAACCGCTGACACTATTGATTAGAACCGATCCAGATATCCGCGGACTTGAGATAGGAGGCAAGCACCTCGCATAAACTGCTTATTTGCAGATGACGTCTTACTTTTCCTCACCTCTCCCTTAACATCTACACCTACCCTACTTCGCCTACTTGAGATAGGTTTTTGGTGCGATCTCTGGCCTTCAAATTAATCCCCGGAAATCGTTGGCGCTTAATATCTCGCTCCCACCTAACGAACTTACCCACCTAAAACTGATCTTGCAGTTCTCATGGTCGCAAGACTCCGTTCCCTTTTTGGGTATAAAACTCACCTCACATATCTCAGGTCTTTATACCGCTAACTACATCCCTATGCTGGCTCATCTAACGGCACTTATGACTAAATGGTCCTCCCTTCCTCTAGCTTGGCTAGGCAGGATAGCAATCGTGAAGATGTCGATCCTTCCCAAAATCCTCTATCTTTTCAGAGATCTCCCAAATCCCAGTACCGCCCACTACCTTCGTGTTTTGCAGCGCCGCATTTCTTCCTACATTTGGGGCAAAGTCCTCCCCCCGTGTCTCCCGCTCTACTCTATACCGATCTAAACTCTATGGTGGTCTGGGCCTCCCTAAGATCAGCAAATACTACCAAGCGGCGCATATGGCACAACTGCCAAAGTATCACGCTACCTACGAAACTCAGCAGTGGGGTCATTCTCGAATCCATCGAATGCGACCCCTTTTTCTACAGCAAACTTTTTTGGCTGAGACGCATTTGACCGCTGCACAATTGAGAATCCCATCACTTCACATTTTTTGTCTCTTTGGGATAAACTGAAGTCTCGTTACCTTCTACAATCACTCCATAATCCCCTTCTTTCCTACCTTTGTAATCCAGCCTTCCCCCCAGCCTGCTCTGCACCACATTTCTTTACTCGATGGTCTACGGCTGGTCTCACTCAGACCCGACACTTCATGCTCAGAAATAAATTTAGATCTTTTACCTCACTATGTGAGTCCCATAACCTCCCCACCTCTGAGTTATTCAGGTATCTGCAGTTGAAACATTTCTTTACTCCGTTCACAATGGCTGCCAACCCAGTTTCCACTTTGTCTCCTTTTGAGCGAGCATGTCTCAGAGACCCTCATAGACGAGGCCTCATATCCTATATATATTCCCTTCTTACAACCTCAACCGTACCTCCATTACCCTCGTATACGGAAAAATGGGAAGCAGATTTAGGCCGGCAAATTGACCCATCAGATTGGGACCTCATTTGGTCCAATACCAAAGAATCGTCGCAGAATATTTGTGGCCCTGGAGACCAATTACAAAGTCCCACACCCGCTGGTACCTTGTCCCAACTAGAATTGCAAAATTTACCCCTGATTACCCCCCAGTTTGTTTCAGAGGCTGCGCAGACCTGGGAACATTTTTTTCATATTTGTTGGGATTGTCCAATCGTCCAAGCTTTTTGGGCGGAGGTTTTTAGAATACGATCCACACTCAGTGCCATAACCCTCCAACCAAGTCCACTAGTCACGCTTCTCGACCACCGAACATCACAAAGGCAAATTTTAACCTCATTCTACAAGTCACCACTGCGGCCAAGCAGGTTATCGCTAAGTCATGGAAGTCTCCCTCACTGAGTATGACTGCAGTTATGATTATGGTCACTCAGGCGATGATCCACGCAAAAATATAAGCCACTATCCTAGATTCCATCCCCAAGTTTAAAAAGATTTGGAATCCCTGGGTGGAGCATTTCCTCCAATCCAATTTTGACGACTCCCTTCTCAACCCGTAATCTATGCCTTCTGCTTTACTGGGACCATCCCTTGGTGATATTGCGGTCATCTGGCTATTTTCCTTCTCCCCTTTCCTTGGAGCCGTACGCCCTATTCCTTCCTTACTCCCCCACCCTTCTTGTTAGGCCTTAATCGATAGTTGATGGTCACTCATGTTAGTGCTGCCTGACCTTGTATTAATGGGAACTCTTATCGTTCATCTACTGTACACCTCCAATGTCCCATATGGTTACTTATAACTTGTCCTGTGTTACATTAAATAAATAAAATATTTAAACAAGAAGGATTTTGAGCTTTATTCACTTATTTCAACACACTGCTATTATTTAGAACATAATTGTATACTGTATATATATATATATCCTTTCATATATTTCATTGCCTAATTTATTTGGATGCATGACATGTTCATTTGGCCACATTATGCACCCCATGTGTACACATTTATGTGCACACCATTCCTTTTCGCCTTTGGGATTCTCTTTTTTGTTTTTGATGCGTTTTTTTTTTTGTTTTTTGATGCGTTACTTTTAATATATTGTTTCTGCTGTTTTGATATATTCCTGTCTGTATATGTATGGTTTTTGTGATTTTTTTGTACTTTATCCCAAGTAGACATGTGTTTTTTTTATATTATTTAAATTTTGATCATTTACAAATGCAGTTTCTAAGCCCATATCTTCTTGGGATATTTTATTCGCTTTTATCTGTGTTTGTATATGCTATTTCATTTTTCATTTCTAATTTTTTCATAATTATTTTTATTCATAATTTTTTTGTTATTCCACTTCATTTTTCTTTTCTTCCTTCCTTTTTCTCTGATATCACTGTTTTTGATACAATGATGTTATTACAATGTACTAGTATGTGTATCCTCAGGATTCAGGAGTGCTGATTAGGACGGATGTTCGTTATTACCTAATACCTATATAAGACATAAGCACTTTTATTGTTTTCTTTGTTTATGATTAATCACGAGATCATGTGAAACACGTTAACAGGTCCTGTATTCATGTCCTGGTGTTTTGTTTGTCCTATGGATTAATACATACTGTATACACTATATTCATCTATCCTCTGGTGTGCGGCTGACACTTCTTGTTATACCACGTCACCCCCTCTGTCCAAATATACCACATCCACCTTCCCCCCTCTGTCCAAGTATACCACGTCCACTGCCCCCCCCTGTCCAAGTATACCACGTCCACTGCCACCCCTCTGTCCAAGTATACCACGTCCACTGCCACCCCTCTGTCCAAGCATACCACGTCCACCGCCACCCCTCTGTCCAAGCATACCACGTCCACCGCCACCCCTCTGTCCAAGTATACCACGTCCACAGCCACCCCTCTGTCCAAGTATACCACGTCCACAGCCACCCCTCTGTCCAAGCATACCACGTCCACTGCCACCCCTCTGTCCAAGTATACCACATCCACTGCCACCCCTCTGTCCAAGTATACCACGTCCACCACCCCTCCGTCCAGGTATACTACGTCCACCGCCACCCCTCTGTCCAAGTATACTATGTTCACTGCCACCCCTCTGTCCAAGTATACCATGTCCACCACCCACCACCACCACATCCACTGCCCACCCCCCTCTGTCCAAGTATACCACATCCACAGCCACCCCTGTCTGTCCAAGTATACCACAACGTCCCAAGTATAACCACGTCACCCCTCTGTCCAAGTAATACCACATCCACCCAGCCACCCCTCTATCCAAGTATACCACGTGCACCCCTCTGTCCAATATACCACATCCACAGGAAACACCCCACCCTCTGTCCAAGTATACCACAATCCCTGCTAGGTATACCTACCCTCTCTGTCTAAGTATACCATGTCCACCCCCCTGTCCAAGTATACCATGTCCCCTCCACACCCATAGGTCCAAGTATAACCCACTTCCACAGCCACCCCTCTGTCCAATGTATACCACGCCATCCACAGCCACAACTCTGCCAAGTATACCATGTCCACCACCACCACTTTGTCTAAGTATTCCACGTCCACCACCTCCTCCCCTCCCCCTATACCCTACGTCCACCGCACCCTACCCCTCTGTCCCACAACCACCCGTCACCATATAAATTTCACTGCCTCGATCACAACTCTGTCTACCCCACCACCAGCCCACACCCCCAAAACCAACAAACAAACCCCACCCAAACCAAAAACAACCCCCCCCCCAGTAGATGGCAGATGCACAAAGCCTTTATTGAGACAAAACAGATGGCAGTCCTTCATCTACAGGGGGTCTGGGTCCCGAGAGGGGTGGATTTGCCCCACTAGAGGGTAACGAGGGGGCCCCACCCACTTATAGTCCACTAGGGAGAGCCAAGGTGGTGTTGTCCCTGTAACAGGGGTAGTCCGACACAGGAGGGGGGTGCGAGGGGTCACCACCGCAACAGTTCAGGTAACACCAGTGGGGAAGCAGGTACTCATGGATCCAACAGGGTGCCTGGTCTCCCAGGGGTAGAAGCCAGACGCAGGTACCTGTGGAGTCCCGGACCAGGTGGGTGGCCTCTGGCTCTGGCAGATGAGCATGTGGTAGTCTCTCCCCCTTCTAGGGGGTATCTGGCAATAAGCAGGAAGGGCTGGGATAGTCTCTCCCCCCCTTCTGTGGGGCCTCTCGCAATCACAGGTAGGCTTTCTCTGCCTGTCTGCTTCTCATCCCTGTGGGGTCTCTGTTGAGTGCTGGGGATGGGCTTGCAAAGTTCTAGTCCACAAAGGTATCACCGGAGCTTGAGATCCTTTGATGACTTTCAACAATGGAATGAAGCCGCCAGGACGCCGAGCACCAGCCATCTTAAACTGCTGCAGGAACCGCTCCCCTGTCCGCACTTGGCAATCGGGGAGGGTGGGAAGGGACTACTAGACCTCAGCGGTAGGAATCGGTCTGGTGACAGTGACATCCTGGGAAGCAGGGATGATGTCTGCATAAGATGAAAAGCAAGTTGAGGGAAGTGTGATGCAGAGAGCTCCCAGCCAGCTGGACGGGAGTGGAGGGGGGTCCAGAGTAGTATGTGATTAGCGCCATTGTATTAGGCCATTTGGTCTAGTGACACAGGGGACAATTTGGAACAATACAGAGCGAGAGGACGCTGAGGGCCCATGTTGATACAAGGCATTTAATAAGGGGTTTAAATAATTGGCAGGCTGCCATACCGAGACACTGTTGGGGGATGCAACAGCCTTGTACTAAATAACAGTATTGATGTGTTTAATAATCACTACTTGACTCAGTAGATGGCACTGTACACTGAATGTTACCAGTTGTACATATCTGTAAAACTTGTTGGTTCTCTCTCTTCTCCTCTCTCTCTCTTTACAACCAAGATGTCCAGCTGTTACAGTTTGCTGAAAGCTTTTGTATGTTTGCAAAATTAAGCACCACAAGTATACCAAGTTCTGCTCCATCACAAGCTACTAGTGTCTTCCTCTAACACATAACCAACAGGTTATCGGGCCCACAGCTCCAGACACTGGAAAAAGGAGAACTACAAGCAAGTAAGTGCTGTATTTACAATCCTACACCAAAACCTGTGTGAGGAAACAAGAGCTGTATCCTATACACTGAAGATGGCAAGGTTGCCCTTCAGATATGAAGTTTACAATACAAAGCTCAACAAACCAACTACCACCAATGGAAGTTTAAGCTTGAAATGCTGTTTATCCAAAGATGACTTGTGGCCGGTAACTAGCTACACACAGACCCAATGACACCCTGGACGAATGGGACCAGAAAAACAGGCAAGCAAAAGCCTTTATAAGCCTGTTTGGGGGGACATCAACTCATTTTTAAAAGGAATGAAACCAGTTTAAGGTATGGGACTGCATTACAACACGCTGAAACATGCAAACCCAAAAAGTAAAATATATCTGCTGCACAAAAGTATAAGATGAGGGTGGAAAATGGGAGGAAAGGGGGAACATGTAAATGCTAGCTAGAAATTGTGAACCAGCGGGGGAATAGGTGAAGAAATGAAAGACAATCTGTAAAGGCATACTGCTATGCAGCCCTTTCCGAAACAAAAAGTGCCCCTTATAAATATCTAGAAAAAAGACCGGAAATGAAAATGAGCTAAAAAGTTAAGGGAAAATTTTAAGGATGAATACAGGGAAAAAAGGGAAAATTTGCTAGTGAAGAGAACGAGAGACCAGAGGGAGCTCTGAAGGGGCAGAAGGGGATAAACAAAGCAAAGAACCAGGGTAGTTTTCGTGCAAAAAGGCCGGTCACCTGAAAAAGAACTGTTCAATCGGAAAA